ATATAATTTAAAACATAAACAAAGCAAAACAAAAAACCCAAAGGCAAACTGTACCAAAGATTATTATTTTAGGCTTGTAAGTTTTAGTAAAAATTATTGCACTAATATTAGGCATCTTAGCTAAAATTATTATTGCTCCAAAGTTTAAGATCATTGCATTCTCTTTCATATAGTTCCTGTGTGACTTACCTTTCTCCTATCTAGAGATTTTTTTCAAATCAAACAAATTGATCTGAATGTCCTAATAATTCACTTTTCATGTATACCATTATTCATTTTTAATAATGACCACAATCTTGTGTACATTAAAACCTATTAAAGAATTTTTAAATATGAATCCAAATTTAGGTTTAAATGACTTGCCTTAAGTCATGAGATTAATCAGTAGTCAAACCTGGATGAGCTTCTGGGTTCATCTAAATTGTGTTTTCATTGTGCTCCAGCACAGAAAAGTGTTATCATGTGATAAAGATGAATGCAGGCAGTCAGTTAGGAACCTATGTTGACATACAAAGGTCTGCAGAATCCTAAAATGAACTAAAATATGGCAAGACTGTTACTGAGGGATTTACAATCTAATGGGATTGACAATGTACAAATTAACTATATTTGACTTCCAATAAAACTGTATATCATCAAATGACATTTAAACAAGTATATAGCTATATATTAGGGGTGAAATACTATACTATATAAAAACTAACTGATTTAATTCAATTTACAAGTATCTGAATGGCTAATAGTGACAAATATTAGGCATTAAAATATTTTTTCCTGATGATTTTATAATCTAATCATATGTCCCAGTTTAGCCTAATTTGCTCACCCTAGATTACAAGAGGATTAATATAGCATATTTTATTTTTAAACTAGGTTTTTTCCTCTCTCTTTTTTAAATTGGTTATCCAGGCCGGAGATTTAGCTCAGTGGTTTCGCCGCCTACTGCGCAAGCGCAAGGGCCCGAGTTCAATCTCCGGTACAAAAAAAAAAAAAAAAAAAAAATTGTTTATCCAGATTAATGGGTTTCATTTTGGCAGATTCATACCTGCATGTATTTTGATCATTTTCACCTCCCCTCTTGCCTGCCTTCCTCCCTAATTTCATATTTTGCGGGGTTGAGTGTTTCAATATATTTTTCTCATGTCCATCCACAATAACCTACCCTTATAACCCCTCCTCCTTTCTCTTATCCCTTTCTTCATGTCTAATAATATTCTCCTTTTTATTTTCTTGTTATCCTTTTCTAGATTCCACATACCGTATTAGAGAGAGCATGCAATATATGTCTTTCTGAATCTGACTTATTTCGCTCAACATTATGGTCTCTAGATCCATCCATTTTCTTGAAAATGACAGAATTCTGTTCTTTCTCATGGCTGAATAATGTGCACATTTTCTTTATCCATTTATCTGTTGGACATCTAGGCTGGTTCCATATCTTGGCTATTGTGAATTATGCCACAATAAGCATAAGTATGCAGTTATTCCTATAGTATGTTGACTTTAATTCTTTTGGGTATATACCAAAAGAATTAATGTAGCTAGAACAAATGGTAGTGCTACTTGTATGATCAAAAAATACAGAGAGTTATGTTTTTTAAGTTGTACAATAAAAGGCGCATTGTCATTAATCCCGGTCAATACCCACTTCCTTGCTTCCAGCACACATATCCCATCGTTTTTATCACTGAAACCATTCTGAAAGTCTTCTTTGATGAGTGTCTTTACTTGAACTGTCATGGCTACCTCCATGTCCTGAATCAATTCAAAATGTTTAAATTTCTCAGTCATTTTGATTTTGACAAAGAGCCAGTGTTGCACAGAGCCAGATCAAGTATATAGGGTGGATGAAAATGCACCATAATGTTTTATTTGACATTGGTTGATCAATAAGGTGAGATCAAAAACTATGCTAAATATTTAAAAATGTATTAGAGTAAAAGACACATTGCCATTAATCTCCCTCAAAATAACAAAAATACTCCTCCTTGCTTCAAACACACTTGCCTATTTTTCTTGGAAATGTGTCTTTTACTGTAATAAGTTTCCTAAATTTAAAAATTCACTATAGTTTTCAGTCACCTCTTGTATTTTTTAGAAACCTCTATATTTTCATTGTGATTTGTAATAATTTACATTCTCACAAAAAGTGTAGGTGGGTTCCTTTTCTCCCACATCTTCAACAACATCAATTGTTTTTTTTAATATTTTTTAGTGATAACTATTCTGATTAGAGTGAGAAGGAGTCAAAACTAAAGATGTTGAACATTTTTTTCATGAACTCATTGGCCATTTGTACTTCTTTTGAAAAGTGTTGCTGAATTCACTTGCCTGTTTATTGATTTGGCTATTTGAGTTTTTAGTGTTAAGTTTTTGAGTTCTTTATGTATTCTAGATATTAATTCTCTGTTGGAAAAGTAACTGATAAAAGACTCTCTAGCATTGTGTAGGCTGTCTCTTCACTCTGTTGATTGTTTTTCTTGCTGTGCAGAAACTTTATAATTTGATGTCCATTTGTTGATTCTTGCACTTATTTCCTGTGCTATTGTCATTCTATTCAAGAATACATTGTAAAAGTCCTAAAGAAAGAAGATACTGAAGGATCGTCTCTCAATATAGTAAAGGCCATATATGACAAACTCACAGCCAAAATCATTTTGAATGGGGAAAAACTCTTACATCAAAAACCAAGCAAGGATGTTCACTCTCACCACTATTATTCAGTATAGTTTTTGAAAGTATAACTAGAGAAATTAGTCAAGAGAAAAAATAAAAAGGATACAAAAAGGAAAGGAAGAAATCAAGTTATTTTTGTTTGCAGATGATTTGACTGTATGCTTAGAAGACCCTAAAGAATAGCCTAAACAATTCTAAGCAAAATAGGCAGGGCCAGAGACATCACACCTAATTTTAGATTATATGACAAAGCCATAAAAACAAAAACAGTATGGTACTAGCATAAAAATGGAAATTGAGACTATTATAATGGAATAGAGGACACGGAAATAACCCCACACTACTATACCCACCTGATTCCATAAAAAGGAGCCAAAAAATACACATTGGAGAAAAGAGCCTCTTATGGTACTGGGAAAACTGGTTATCCACTTGTATAAGATGGAAGCTAGATCCCTATCTCTCATGTTGCAAAAAGTCAATTAAAAATGGATCAAAGTCCAAGAGATAAGACCTGAAATGTAAAAACTGCTAAAGAAAGCATGAGGATACACTTGACACTGGCAAAGATTTCCTAAGTAGGATTTTTAAAATAAAAATATAATAAACTAATATTAAATAACAAACAGTAAGCCAATAACCATTACCAATAAGTGTCATTTTTGAGATCTTTCTGTATTGAAAGACAATAAGAAAAAAGTGGAATGTCACGTGGCCACCTGTAGCAAAGCATTTCCTTGCTCTTATTTATTGGCCACTATTTGCATGGAAGGTTCAGTAACTATATGGTGCATTGAAAAACATTTGGCCATTTTCTTTTGGCAAATTCACAATACCTGGAATTTTATGTAGCTGCTATTGTCTCTAGTCTATCTCTGAGCCTCCTTTGCCATTTCCGTTCCACAGCTTCTCATCAGTCTCTGGCTTTGAACAATTCCATTCATTCTCCCACTTATAGTTGACTCCTGAACCAACACCTTTAAACTTGACCCTTCTGGGTTCAGCATTTCTAAGTAACATGTAAATATTGCTTCCTTGCTATACATATTCTACCTTCAACTCAGCCACTGAAATAAAACATCTTGCCTTTTAAAAACCAACGTCACCTTGCAATACCCTTATCTCTGTTGGTGTAACAGGTGCTATGTAGTCATGCAGGTTGTACTTTGAACAAAAGCACTTGGCTGACGTGTTAGTGAGAACTGAAATTATATTCACATGTGGTATGTTTAATTGCAGAGCTGTGTCAGTCTTGTGAAAGGTCTTTTACCACTTCCTCCACCTAGAGAGGACGACTTTGTCTAATTCACCCAGTGATGGCCCATATATGTTGTTGAAGGCCCTGAGTGTCATCACCTTTTTTTTCCCAAGTCACCTATTTCAGAAACTCAGAATCTCCATCTTTCTATCCTTTCATTCTCCCAAAATATATCATGCTGAGTTCACTGCTTTCTTTTTATCCACATTGCCAGGAGTCCAGTGTAACCTAATGCTTTATCTCTGAACTATTTTTATTTCATCAGTTCTCTTCATTTAACTCTTCCTCTGGGTCCTTTCTCTTCTGGGGATGTCCTTTCCTTAAAACACAAGTTCATCTTGTCATTTAAAGGCTCAGAAACCTCAAGGATTCTCCATTGCCTGTATTATTAAGTAAAAGCTCCTCAATCTGTCACTTATGGTTTATCAATGATACCTGTCATTTATGGTATCTTGTACCTTGTAAACACTCAGTAAATATTTGTCAACTCATTAAAATCTTATAAAATAATGTTCCCAATGCTCACTGCCCACCGAAGTCCAATTAACATCTCCTGTACATACCCTAGGCACTGTGAACTGCTTGATATTTACAGAATTCATCCTTAACTGTGTCGTCTGCATAACCTTGATGCTGCACCTGAACTTATCCCTTCTGTTAGGGGACAGAATGCCTTTCCCATTTATTTTGGCTCATTTATCATGGTCTGTTCTTGTGTTAGTCATCTTTGAGTTTGTTCCTCCTGCTAGATGTTAAGGATTTTGATGTTAGCAATACTTTTTTACTTATCATTGCCTCCTTCTGAGCCCCAAGTTTAAGGAGAAAAATGTACATAGCCATAGCTCAGTTACACATGTGCCAAAAGACAGACTGACTAGCCATTTGATTTTCAGGGAAGAAATACCATCACATAAAAGTGGAAAAGAAAAATAATTAAATGTTTATTTAAGAGATTTGTTTTAATTTTTTTCTGACAGCAACTATGCCACCAGAATATATTTTGTATCACTGATTTTAATATGTAAAATATAAAATTGAACTATGTCATTCTTTTTGTTTTTTGTAGAAAGATGCTGAATTCCAGGAGCATGAAAAGATTCTGTCTCCAGATCTTCTTTCAACTGTCCAAATCACAGATTTACTAACAGAGGATGTAGATGGTGTTCAAGAGTAAGTACTTCAATATTACAATCAAATATAGATGAGTTCTAATTCATTTATAAATGAACATGATATACTATTTATTATACATATTAGGCTTTTTTATTGTGCACTGAAATACTTCCAGACTCTGGAATACAATATTGAAAACTAACTGACTTTTTGCACTGCTTGGCAGTCTTCCTAATGGGAGAAATACATTTCAAGCAAATGTGTTAGTATTAACTAAGAGTTTAGATTTATTGTCAAAGCAGCCTCTACTGTATGCCACCTCTTCATTCATAAAACTGTCAAAATGTGTTTTCTGTAATATTAATAGTTGAGACATCTTATTATTTTGTAAATCCTGGATATTGGCCATACAACTGAGCTTTTGATCAGAAATGAAGGTATACTAACTATTCTTGATTGCATACATGCTTAAAACTATAAGTTTATGGAAAATAATTCAAAGGTACATCTCACTCTTTAGGTCACTTAGTTCTGTAATACATCATTTATTTAGAACATTAGTCAGATATACTACACAACACAATGTCTTAAATGTTTTTTCTCAAAATCACCCATTTTAAAAATTGTTTCACTTTATAAGGAAAACCAAAATGTGTGGATTGATTGGTCAAAATGTGTGGAGAGAGGGATGGTGTGATGAGCAGGACCATAGTGTCCTGTTATTTGTCTCTGCAGTCCAGTCCTCGTCACACAAGCATGGTGTCCTGCACCATAATGGACAAACAGAAAATGACTCTGTCGATAATTATCATTGGAAAATCTTACAAATATTGTGTAAAGAGGCAATTTACTACTGAGAAAGAAATAAGACAAATGTACTGGCTGGAGAACAAATCTGAGAAGAGAAAGCTTATTGTGAGCAGGAGTATAACACTAGCAGGCCTTTTCCCAAGATGCTCTTCACCCCTATCTCTTGCAAACTGCTAGGGCCGCTGACCTGCGATTTGGCCATACTGCTGGCTGACTGCATCTTAGTTGGTAAATTAAAATCTCCAGTTTCTAACCAAGTGTCTCATGAAAATTTTATCCTTTTTTTAATAAAAAACGAATGTTCACTGGGAATTCTGCTTTTAGATGTGAGAAATGACAAAAATGCATTCATAATGTTGACATCACTGTCTCTCTTCTGTCCTTTGTTCCCTGTGTTTTTATGTAAAATACTTTCTGTTTCCAGGTACTCCAAGTGCTTTTGATCATTACTACGCAAAACAATAGATAGTTAATACTAGGCAAACATAATGCAATTCAAGTAACACATTTTTAATACAATGTACATTTTATTTGCTTTATTAAATAAAAGATGTTATATTAAATCAAGTAAACTTAAAGATGATGTTGCTCTTTAGAAGTATTTCTTGCCATATTATAAGTTGTCCTGTATATTGTACTTTATGTGATAATATATTTTTCAGTTATTGACCCCCGTTTGCTGTTACATATCTGAACTGTGAAAATATTTTTAATCTTTAAGGGAGGTGAGGTCTAGGACAAAGTACATGATACAGAAGGTGATAGAGAAGTTAGGGGGTTAAATAGCAGGTTGATTTTTTAAAACTCATTAATATAAAAATTACATAAAATGATCTCATCTTTGGATAAATAATGTCAGTGTTATCATAGGAGCCAATTCTTTGTAATTTCCTTGTAGCTCTTTATATGGTGCTTTTAACCAGTAATTCTGAAATATTTGCAATAAATCACCCTTAATTTCAAGTAGCATTGTTATGAGTAGCGATTACATACTTTTCAAAATAATAGTAATATTTAGGTACCTTATCACTAAGTAACATGAGTATGCTGAAACTATACAATATACAAAGATATATGCCTATTTAATTATAATATGTAAGCACATTTCCTACCTTTAAAATTAAGACTTGCTGTTTATGAAAGCAAGCAATCAAATGAAAGAAACTTCAAAATATTATTAAACATATTTTTGGAATACACTTTAGGCAGTTAAATATCAGTACATTTCTCATTGTCACCTAGCTGCTATCAATCGTTAACTGTTTTAATGTAATTCTGACTTTATTTACTGATCCATGCCAAATTCCTTTTTTAAAAAAGATAGGGACCACATTAAAAATAACTATATATGTCAGGAGTGGTGGCAAACATTTATAATCCCAGCAGTAAGGAGGCTGAGACAGGAAGATCACCAAGAGTTCAAGGCCAGCCTGTACTACATACCAAGACCTTGTATCAAACAAAACAAAACAAAAATAAAACCACTTTATAAACACAGAAATAACACCAAGATGACTTGTAATGACCTTCCTATAGATGGGCTTCTATGAGCTGTTTCACTTTTGCTTTCAAACTTTCTGTCTTCATGTCATCATCTAGAAGTGAAATGCACTCCATTTCAAGAACATGCAAGAATAATATGATAACAGTTTTACTGAAATTCTCTCTTACACTGTAGCCATGCCCATCTTTCTTCTGTCCCTTGTTAACATCTTTTTTTGTGTCCAGTGTAAAAGCTTACAAATTTGCCAGTAAAAATACAGGGACACTTTACATCCAAACTTCAACAGTATCTTGCTTCAAATGACTCCCTTTGTAAGCTACTTTGGAGGGAAATGACTGAACAAAGCACAGAAATAATAAATATTCAGCACCATGGTTCAAGTTAAAGGGGAAGATTAAATGGTACTAGGGAAAGAGGAGTTTAAAGAGAGGGTTTGGGAAAAGGTGAGGTGGCAGGAGATCAAAGAGATTTTACCAAAGATTCTTAGAAAAGTAGTTGCCTTCACTCAAACACAATTAAACCTTGAAAAATAAAAATGGAAAGCACAGACATATGCAAATGTTGAGGTCAAATATTTAATTAACAAATCACAGCATGCAGATGGCAAATGAAGAGAAAGCAGAAAAACGAACATTAGAAACAGAAGAAACTGTTAGGCAAAAGCTGATGATTGAAGAGGATATCAGTTCTACAAAACAAGAGATTAAAGATGAAATGATAAAATATGTAAATAAGAAATTTTTATAGCTAAAGCAAAGAGCTAAGGGTAAATAATAAAACTAATGTAGAACTGGTGTTGCAGTAATGATGGAAGACAAATTTAAGAAAACATAAAAATGCAGAGTAAAACAATCAGATGTTAGAATATGCATCTGACATACTGAATCAGAAAAAAAAATAAATCTTATAATGCTTTGATATTAATATATTAGTAGAAGAAAACTTCATGTATTATCTCATCTCTGGGATAAAGACACTCATGGAGGAATAGGCTTCAGAGTTTTCTTTAGCAATGCTAGGTAGCAGAAATCAGCAAACAAGACACTAATTTTAGGAAGTCAAAAGAATATGACTCCAGAATAAAATGCTACTTTGGGTTGTTATTTAATTATAGTGACAATACTTTGTAAAATAAGCAACAACTCAGAAAATATTGTAGCTATGTCTCATAGAAAAATCTACCTATTAGCCCAACTGAAAGATGAATCAATTCATTAATGACTTTAAAATAATAATACCAACAAAACTGCTAACGATAAATTGATATAAAAAGACTAGTATTTAGCAATGGACTCGTTTAAAATTAAAATAAGATCTAATATGATAATAATAAACTGAACAACTATTCAGGAACATGTGATGAAAATAAGTGTGCATATGAGAAAAAAAAGAGTAACCTAATTTCCTTCTCTTACAGAATAAAATTTAGTTTTAGAATGCTTTTTAAAAGTTGCATCATACATGTAAAGGGTTAATATCCCTAACCATGCAAAAAACTCTTATAAATTCATAAGAAAAAAGCAAACAATTGAACACAATAAAAATGAATATAACATAATAAAGAAGCAAATAATGTACAAGACAATGATTTTATAATAGATTAATAGGTATTAAAATTATGGGCTAAATCCAAACTACATTGGAATATGTTAAAACATACCTTTTACTATGGTACTGATAGAAGACTAATTTGGCACTGCCTTTTTGGGAGGGAAGTTTCACCATATTGAACCCAGCAAGCCTACTTTTAAGAATTTATTTTTACAAGATCACTGGAGTTTTGGAAAAGTCTTAAATCATCCTTCATTATTCTAGGTTCTTAACCAATGGAGGACATTGAAGCACATTTAGGAATGTATATTTCCAATATATTTTCATCATTACTTAGAGCTCCATTTTCCTAATAAGACCAGAGAATGTGTAGAGGCCTTCTACTTCCTTCTAGAATCCCAATATTTTTTTCAGTTACATTCATTGCAAACTTTTTTCCCAGTCTGCCTCTTGTCTTTTCAATTTAGTTATATTGTCTTTCATGGTCTAGACATGTTTTAACTGTTTAAATACAGATCAATTTATTGGCCTTTTTCTTTTCTTTTTTTTTTTTTTTGGTACTGGGGATCGAACTTGGGTCCTTGAGCTTACGCAGCAGGCGGAGAAACCACTGAGCTAAATCCCAGGCAGTTGGCCCATTTCTTTATGATTAGCATTTCTGGCTTACTCATATGTCACATTATATTCTTGGCTAAAAAGTTTGAATTATTTGCCATTAACGTTAATCCACCCTGCCGGGGATTTATCTCAGTGGTTTCGCCGCCTGCTGGGCAAGCGCAAGGACCCGAGTTCGATCCCTGGTACCAAAAAAAAAACAAACAAAAAAACCCCCATTAATCCACCCAGATTTCATTTTATTTATAACTTTCACGTGGATAGATGACCCAGTACCATAGTACATACTTCCCTTGCTGATTTGAAATACTACTTCTGTCATGCACCAAGCACCCGTGGACATTGGGTCTGTTTCTGCAATCTATACCTGATCCATTGCCCTACTTATTCTGTAGTAATACTGCACATTTGCATTATTGCAGAAATGTTCTTACTGTTTTTCTCTTAAGACTAGATGATGCTACCAGGCATGGTGGAGCATGCCTGTGATCCCAGCACACCGGAGGCTGAGGCAGGAGGATCGTCATGAGTTTGAGGCCAGCTTGGGCTACATAGTGAGTTCAAGGCCAGCCTGAACTACAAAGGGACACCCTGCCTCAAAACAAACAAACAAAAAGACTAGATGATGCTTTATATTATTCAAATAAATGTTGCTGAAAAAAGTTTAATGCAAATTAAAGATGCCTGCTAGTACACAAACCACATTCCCCCAACACCTAAGTGTCCTTACAAATGTGCATATAACTGCTGAGTTCCATGCTTGATGAAATGTATCAAAAGGTATAGTTATACATAATATGAAAAGTTGATCATATTGATTTTTAAATATATGTATTTATATATGTATCATAAATAAATTACATATTCATATATAAATATACAATATGAATAAACCTATCTACAAATATACTGTATCTCATTCATATGTATATGTAAATAAATGTATATATATATATATATATATATATATATAAAATGAAGATATTGCCCAGGATTTGACTCAACTTTGAAGTCAACCTCTCTCTGAATTTCCTATTTTGTGATATTTTATATAATGGTTATAAGATGGCTGTCAGCAATTGAAATTACTTATTAATATTTGATCACCAAAAGAAAAAAAAACCTCATCTTTAGGAATTAATGAAATAATCTAGGAGAGTGATCACCAAAAAAAATATTTGTAGAAAAGTTTTACACACTGAATGGCATTATAGGAAAGAGGGTGAGATTGCAATGATCCCTTACAACAATTAGAACTCATTTGGAGTCTGATATTTGTCCCTACCACTGAACATAAAGCAGACATCAGAAAGTTAAACATATTATCAGCATCAGCTTTATTTATTTCCATACTTGATTAAACTATTCTGTTATATTTATTATTCTGACCAAATAATTTATTTTAATATTATGAATGATTGGGGCTTCTCTTTTTGAAAATAACATCATTAAGTTGTCACACACATATTGTCCCCACTCCTCAAGAAATCACACATAAGCTAGAAGAAAATACCAAACTTATCTTCATCAAAATAAGGAGAATGCTGAAAGCCCAGACCGCAGAATATCAAGATGATGGCCACAATCATTATAGTTCAACAAGTGCAAGAGAAAATAAAAAGAAGAAACTAATATTTGAAGATTTTAGAATGAGTTAAAATATTCTCTCAGAAGAGGAAAACCCTCATTCACAATAGCAGGATCAGGGTGTACAGACTTGGAGCAGATACTTCCTGTATCACAGGAAGTGGGCTGTTTATGTGAGAGTAAAAATAATCTACCCATACTTTTTCTGCTTTTACTCCACCAGTTAGAAAAAAGTAAATGTTAGAGAAATTGACAGAAAGTTACTTTAAACAGGAAATGCTGACTGGTTTGTAAAACAGCCAAGTTTCCACCTTCAGTGTATATCCTGAAAATAGCTGTGCAAAAACAAAATCTCACTTCATTCAAAGATAAGTAATAAAGAAAGAATAAGCATCTAAGGCATTGCTATAAAGAATAAAAAGAAAGGAATAGGAAAAAGAAATAGCAGATAAAGGAAATGCACCAGAAAAATATAGCCATGAGCAGACAAAAAATGTGATAAAATATTTTATCATGAATTTTAAACTCTGAAGCAATCATAAGGACATAAAACAGAATTATAAAAGCTCAAGGAAGAGATAACAAAAAATACAAGGTAGTAAAACATTTTAAAAGGAAAGACTTACTTACAGAATTTGAGGTAAAATTTATAGCAGTCCAAAGAATGAATGACTGCTAAAAACAAACTAAAGAAAAGAGAAGACAATAATAAGAAGTATACAAAATAAAAAGGAAATATATTGAAAAAGACTTAAATGCTAAAGTGAAAAAATATAGCTTAAGATACAGTTAATAAAACATGAATAACTGGATTCCTTTAAAAAAGAAAATAGAACAGAATATTTAACAATCCAGTATAAGAACATTTTCAGAAATAAAAGAAATTTAATTGCACAAGTGGAAAGAGATATTGAATTTCAGAGACATTACTAGACATTAGAGACATTAAAGAATTGGAAAAGGAGAAGAATGAGAAAATAACAAGGATGAAAGGAGACAAAACAGAGCTCTCTCTGTCTCTGTTTCTCTTTTGAATGTCATTTTAAGCTTATGGATTCAGATACAGTTGAACATAATATGTTATATAAACATTAGAGAATTTTCATTGAAGGAAACTATTTTCAAAACTAAAGGAACTGTTCAGGATTTAATCTGATTTAATGTCTGCATTTTTCTTTTTGTTACAGAAAACTGAGAATGTTTTTAAATTTCAAAAATCTTCAAACTTGTTCAAAGGATGCCATTCTATTAGATTATTATGTGTCTGGATTTTTGTGGGCTAAAGGAATGGACTTTTCTATTATTCAGTGTTCAAAATTTATGACTCTAATAGATATGTTACTTCATAATCTTAAAAGTAAGTACATTATTTTTCTCTTTTTTAAGAAAAGGAACTTTATTCTACCATATAAATTAATGTTTTTAAGCAGAAGTTTCTGATTTTATTGCAGTCCTTTTGTATTTGTTACTTTCCATCACAGATACACATAATTTAAAGAGATTTAATTTGGCTCATGGAGGGGGTTTCAGTTTATGGTTGGCTAGCTCCAAAGCAGAAATGGGATGGTGGAAGAGCCTGACAGAGGAAGGCTGCTCACTGCATGGGAGCCAGGAGGTAGAGAGAGAAGGATGGAGCTGGGGACGAGATTATACCCTTCCAGGCCACTTTCCCAGTGACTTGATCATATCAGGCCACACCTCCTAACAGCACATGACCTCATCAATGGATTAACCACAACCATGGATGAATACAGCAGTTACCTTCTAAAGGCCCAACCTCTGAACACATGAGACTTTGGGGAACGTTTTAGTTCTAAACCATAACATCTTTCCAGGAAAACTAAAGGCCTTATTTCTGATTATAGCAAAGTTATGGCTCATGCCTTCATTGAATTGTAAAACCTCAAATAATGCTTACCACAACTAAAGTTCTCCTAATAATTAATTTGTCAAAGATATGTTATTAACACTTAAAAGTCTTCCTGTCATCCATTCTCTAAATATCTGGAGACTCTCTGTGATATTCTTGCAACTTTTCTATATACCTAAAACCATTCTGAAATTTAAAGGATATCAATTGGTATATATCCTGATCTGGCTCACCCAGTATGCAAATCCATTTTGGCCTGTGTTTCAGATCTGATCCTTGTCTCAAAATTATGCTGCATGTCTGCATCCCACCTAGAGTGAAACTGGGTCAATCTAAAAAACTGTGAAAGCCAGGTTTTTTGCTAACAGTTGACTCTCGTGTATTCAACAAACCTAGAATAGGAAATATTTTTTAAAAATTCTGTCTGTATTGAACCTGATCCGATATTTTTCCTTGTCATAATTCCCCAAACAATATAGTATTAATAACTATTTACCTAGCATTTACATTATATTAGGTATTATAAGTAATCTAGAGAAAATTTAAAGTATATAGGATAATGTGCATAGGTTATATGAAAATTCTATGCCATTTTATATAAGGAACTTGAGCATCAGTAAATTTTGATGTCCTTGAGAGGGGCCCCAGGGACTAATCCTATCTGGATGCTGATGAACAACTGTATACAGTTTGCTGTCTGGTTTTTCTAGAGTCTAAAGAAAGACAAACTGTGGCATATTAGATAGATGGATATTTGACTTTTATCCAGGCCTTTAGACCTACGCTGACTCCCTTGTACATAACATGATTATTAGTAAGTTACTAGGGAATCCTAATTCCCATAATGCTGAACTACTTTTCCCCAAAATAGGACTCATAATAACAGCACTTATGTAGGATTAACTTGTGCCATTCACAGCACTAACTGCTTTACAAATAGTGCACACACCACCTTATTAGACAAACAAATAAGGGTCTGAAGAGTTAAATAACTTCTTAAAGTCAGACATGGTCAACTTCAGCAAATGAGAGTTCATTTTCCTATTAAATCAAACATGCCTGGCTTTGGGCTGAATTCCTCCTGAAAGCACTAAACACATGTGAAATACTCCCCATAGCATGTGCATCTTTTCAGTTACCAATAGTTTCACATGCATTTCTTATTTGACTGTCACAATAGCACTATCATTTTGAAAATAAGTATTATTCTTATTTTAGAGATAAAGAAATGAGACTCAGGTCACCTAGCTAGTGTCAGTTATGAGATACAATAATTGTAAGTTTTCCAACTAATTATAAATCTCCTGTATTCATTACCCTAGATTTTCAAGAATAAATTTTATTTCTAGGACCCTTACTATTTAAGAGTTTAATCTTTCATATTTTAATCATATCACTAAATGTGATTTTAAAAGAGCAAATATTTCAGTTAGATAAGTGAAATGATAAATTCCCTAATTTTCAAAGCACTTATCTATAGAAAAACACTAGACAAAGCAAAAACAGTTCTAAAGAGTCAGTTATTTTTCAACATAAGGAAATAGTCATATAAATGTATTTTGTATTTGATAAGTATAATTTCATCTTGAATTATAATCAGTTATCTAAGAATTTCTTTTTTTCCTCTGCCTCTCTAATTAATACCATTTCATTAATAAAATGATTCAGATTTTCTATTCATTCGTGAGTTGCTCTTATTCCAACAAATTTTTCTTTTCTGAAGTTATTTTCATCATTTTCAAAAGAAGTTTATCATGGAAAGAGAAATGTATAAATGAGCTGAATTCCATTTAGGGTGATATAGGAAAGCCTAGTCATCCAGCAACAATTGAGCACATCTGATACACTTCCAGGATGGTCTGGAGGGAAGCTATGAGAATTAGGCCAGTTGTGATTCATTAAACCAGATTTTAATTGTTATCTAGTTTTATGCTTCTTTCTATTTCCCACAAGGAGGAAAGAGTCTAAACAAATTGCAATCTAATGATCACAGTATCTTTTTTAAAATTTTAAATTACAATCATTTCATTGGTAATTTTCATATTTGAGGACTTGTATTTATATTCCAGAAAATGTAGCTGTATAATTCAGAAATGGCCAAGTCCAACAATCAGCACGCATTTTCGTAGCTTCCTTCTATCTCCATCCTACCACAAACCCCTTCTGTTACAAGAAACGCAACATTTACTGAGAGCTTCCACGAGAAAATGAAATTTTGTTGGTAAGGTTTATATTAAGGAGCAAAATCTCTTCAGATTCCTCCTCCAGGCCCTCAGTTGATAGTCACCTCCTGAACAGCCAGCCCCGCCTTGGTTCTGAAGAGTCTTTCCACTCTCCACCTCCAGCCTCCTTGCTCTTAGGTACAGACACACAGTATTGTCAACAAACAAAGGACCCCTGTGGACACCCCAGTTACCTCAGTCCATCCTCCAAAGGCGTAGGGCAGTGTGTATACATAAATTGTAAATAATATTTTGCCTGTCACTGCTAAAAACAAGCATAATATAACTATTAGAAATTAATATTTTTTATTATGATAGACATTCTAAATTTGTCTTTTTTTTATTAACTGGGGACTGAACCAGGGACTTCACATTGGTCTACATCCCCAGCTCTCTTTACATTTTTATTTTAAGACAGAGTTTCACTAAGTCCCCCAGAAGAGGCTCAAATTTGCAATTCTCCTGCCTTAGCCTCCCAGAATGCTGGCATTACAGGTGTGCACCGACATGCCTGGCTTTTTTCAACATTTATCTACATCTTTCTCAGCTGAACAAATGTCACAGAAGATAGTTTGGGGTGTTTGTTTTGTTTGTTTTGTAGCTGTCAGAGAATAGACTAAAAGACTTTTTTGAGAAATGGTGAAGTTGTATCACTCTTTTTGCACTTTTTTTCTCACCAAACTTCCTAAGGATGCATTTGGAAATAGCTTACCTGTTCTGAGTCTGAAGCTGTGGAAAAGGAAAATATATCTTGATGTTCTAGGTAAAAATCCATATTTCTGGCTCCTGTTGAAAATCTTTAAGCCCAGATTCTCACTAGTAATGTTCAGTTACAGCTAGTGTTACATAACTCCCTTTATTTACATTTTCAGCTCCAATTTCAGCTCTGAGTTCCACAGTGACTAAACCTACAGTCTGAATTTTCCCACTAGCTAAGTCCACCACCTTTTTATAATTTTATATATCCTTTTCTCTCAGATTATTTTTTGAAAAATTATACCTTCCTTTTTAAATAATCTTTAAATAGATTTTGATTTTTTGTTTGTTGATTTGGGGGTATGGAGTACTGGGGATTGTACCTAATACCTATGTGCGGAGCTACATCCCTACCCCTTTCATTAATTTTTTATTTTGGGACAGGATTTCACTAAATTGCTAAATTTCCCAGGTTGAGATTCTCCTGTTTCAGCTCTCCAGAGGGCTGGGATTATAGCTGTGCATCACCATATCCTGCTGGGTTTTTTTTCCCCTTGATATCATGTAATGGAAACACAACCTCTTCTGGCGATTGTGTACCATTACAGTAATTTATAATTGTTTGATGTCTAAGCTGCTGTTGTTTTACACTAAATATAATTATTAATTTATACAAAAAAATAAGAGTTTTAATATTTGTCCTCACAATGGCTGATCAGAATAAATTTTGACACATTTAAGAAATCTTGGATTATTTTGCTCTCAAAGTATCTACTAAAACAATACTTAATATTTGTCTGGATTTCTTTTTAGCACTAAATATGTCCTTAAAGGACAACATAAAGTGGCTCGGGAAAGTGATGGCTGAAATCAGACCAACCCGTTCTCAAAGAATTGATGAATGGAACACCTTTGGTGTAAAACAAGCCAATGCTATCATTGATTACTTAAAAATCAGGTATGAACTTTTTTTCAGTAGCATTTATTTCTTATTTCATGTCTTTTACAAAGTTTCTTTTAAATTTAAATCCAATTTTGAGGAAAATCAGATGTTTACAGCATTTATATGGGAGTTCAATTACTCAATAAACATAATCTTCAAATCTTCCATCTAATAAATAAAAGTCAGGTCATTGAATGTTTTGGCTAATGTTGCATTCCTGAACATAGCTTGTGTTTGATAAATATAATTTCCTCTAGAATTATAATAAGTTCCATAAGAATTTCTTTTTTCTCTGAATCTTTAGCACCATTTTATAAATAAAATTATTTTTATGATTAAACAGATTTAATCACAATAGGATCTATGTTTTAGGTAGCTGACCTTCCCAAATACATAATTTTACATTTTAAAGAGCAACATTCATTTCCACTTTAATGTTTATTTTAAATGCTTTGCACTAAAAATTGAAATCTATGTATTTTCTGAAATTTATTATGTGCATTAAAATATTTTGTACTATTGCCCAAACAAACTCATTAAGGGTCTTTCTACTTAGAAAATGATGATGGATGGAGGGAAAGTGATTTTATTGCAGTGATTTTTCATTGGTGAAGTAATTTGTCTTATATAGTTTTTCACAAAATCTGCCTGAGAGTCATGCGTCTCTCCAAAGGGACATTTTTAGAATTTGCAAACATTCAAATGAGAATAGTAAAAATCTTTCTTTTGCCAAATTAAAGGTTCTGTACAGTATCTTTGTTCCTTTTATGCTATGTATGCCAATATTTTCCAAAGTTAAAAATTAACATTATAAAATAAAGAGTGCCAAATCATATCCTAGATGTGCTCATGATTTGCTTGGCAAGGATTGTGACTGTAGTTTGGAAGCTTTATAAATATTAGTGTGTTTAATATGATAAAGTGTATATATTGATTTCTGGCATTAATAGTAGCATATGATAAAATATATTTTTATGTAACAGTATTTGATACATGATTTCTTAATATAAATGCATTCCTCCTAATGAGTGATTCTCACTAAAAGAAAGTAATTTTGAACAATTAGAGTGAGGCAAAGTCCTTGTGTGTGGGAAGAGAAAGGGCTGGAAATTCATAATTGGATGAGAACCTGTGTTTAATGTCTTTCTGCCCCTCAGGGCTTGAGAGTCACTGGGCAAGAGAATTCTACCCTGCACATTTGTATTACTCTCCTTCTTTCCCTTCTCCCTTTATTCTGAACATGCCCAGTTGCTCTTACAAAACATATTTTTACAGCTGAGCTCTAAGCCCAGGAGGTTTATAATGGGTGCTGTACCAGTAGGTAAGCATAGCAGCAAAAGGCACAGAAGGCACCATGATGACACTTTCTACACAATGAAGAAGAGCTTCTTTCCTCGCTGATCTCATATCACTAGGCAAATGTTCATCAACGTATTTTTAATATTTTTTTCAGAAAATGACTAACTTAGATTCTAACCAGAGTAACTTCCCATATCAAAAATCCCCTAAAAGTCCTGTAATCCTAGCACTCTGGAAGGCTGAGGATTGTAATTGCAAGTGAAGCCTGAGCAGTTTAACAAATTAGTGAGAAGCTGTTTCAAAAAATAAAAAGGGTTGGGGATGAAGCTCAGTACTAAGCCCTTGTTTCAGTTCAATCCCCAGTACCACACCCCCACACAAAAAAAAAACCAAATAAAGATAAGCTCTAATAATAATATTCAAGAAATGAATCAAATAAAGTAAATTAGAACTATTTTTAGTGCTCTTAAGTCATATTGTGATTTTTTGAAGAAATTATGCATTTTAAATATCTCTACTACAGAAAGATAAAATATCAGTTAGGAGGATATCTGGGATTGGCACTATAGTTGTGTGAAGGGAAATGTACTTTTCTACCACACCTGTTCAGTAGATCTCATAGGTCCGCAGGTGTAAGTTTAGTTGCAATTAAATCATAGAAAACATTCATTTTGATGACTACAAAGTGGTTTTATAAATAGGAAGGTGACTCAATTATCAGAAGTATAAATGTGTTTCAACTTTAGCTGATATTAAATTTACCCGATCACTCAAAGCTTTAGTCAATTTAAGGAGAATTGTTTGTAGAACATGACCCATAGCCCATGAAACTTAACTTGACAATAAATTAAATTTCACTGTTATTCTTAGCCTTCAAATTGTATATTCTATGATATGCCTGTGATTTGAAAGAAAACTAATACCAAAATTTCTCCCCCACAATACCATACTTACTGGGAAACCTACATATAAAATATATAGATTTGTACATGTTGTATATTGCATACAAATATAAATATAAATACTACTGTAGCTTTTTAATTTAAACATCACTTACATATATATCAGGTCCAAGTACAAATTTTTTTGTTGTGTGGTCTCCCTATTCCTTGGCAATCAGGAAGAGCTACTATGTACAGGTGTATACCCAATATATAAAAACAAAATCATCCCTGGTCCTCTGTGTACACCAGGATGTTGAACTTCCTGGGATGAGGCTAGATACCTTGACTCATTTTTATTCCATCTTCCATCAATTTAGGACTAAGACTAGATGTTTAATGGAATAGTCTGGAGCTCCAGTCAGGCAGAAGTCTGAAGAGGAGACCGAAAATATACTCCCATAGTTGAAGAATCACATTGTTCTCAGGCAAGACCACTTAAAAGCTCCCTGTAAAGTTACAGAGTGAATGAGGCAAGAGGCTCCTTTTTAGATTTCTTCAGTTGGACACATTATCCTAGTCCTGATCTTCTCCCCAGCCCCACATCTTCAACCACTGCATGCAGGTCATGCATGCATTGTAGGAAGTTAATTTCCCTCTTGGTATGGGATTATCTAATTCCAAAGTGCAGCTAGGGGAATAAGGCTAAAAGATTCTGAAACTACAGGAAAGAAAATTTATGAATCAAGTTCTTTGTATAACACAAGACAGACAAAGAGAAAATTCAACCTAGCTCACTTAGAAGAATCCAACTATTTCCAAAATATAGTCTTAAATTTTTCTACTTAAAATCAGTAATTGACAGTGTAATATTTTTGACATTATAGCTTTCTCTAGGTCACAAATGTAAAGGAGGGAGAAATACCATTTATTTTGCTTCAATGAATTAATCAAACTTTACTAATCTTAATGTATTTTTCTAGCCAACAACTCAGTGATGTCAAAAGCTAAGTTAGTTTTCTGAATGTTGATGAATAATTCAAGTGTGCAAGGTTAAAAAAAAACAACCATGACCGAGTCCACACACCCATCACATTTTAATGGATTGGGTTAGTAGTGAGATCAGCTGCTAATGTTACTCAGAGAGACCAGCTGCCTGAGGATTTCTTCATTGATTTCAAATGAATTGAAACTTTGATCCATTACAGCATTCAGGAGAAGCCATTATTATACATGCTCTGTAGCTACATTTTGCAAATGTTAATTTCTCAGTTATATTAAAATCAATTTTCTTAAATAGCAAAAGGCACCAGAGTGAAAGAGAAACCACTAAGACAATGTTTTGTTCTTGGGTGTTTTGGTGTATTATGAGTCTATTAATTTTCCCAACCAGCAGGAAGAGAATTAGAAAAGTTCGACTATTATCACAAACAGGATATTAGAAATCAGCCCTTCAGTAAATTTTTAAATCTCAATGATACATTGCTAAGCTTTTTAAACTTACTAGAAATATTTATTTTCAGGAACTCCTATCCTCTGGCTCTTTGTAGTTTTTATACACTGACCACCTAGTTTTCAGGCTAGAACAAAGAGAATGATCCATCATAAATTTATTCTACCCTTTGATGTGTGACTGAATATTTTGCAGGAAATTGGACATTGTCTAAATGGATTTCACTTTGTGTCACATCATTTTTCAGGTGTTATTGCAGATTAATTTAATCTTGAAACAGTTTGATAATGTCAGAAGTAATAATTGACATAGAAGTAGATTATAGAAATCTGTACCATTCATATCAGAGGAAATTGACTCTAGTTTGGAACAAAACATAATAAATAATGCAAAGTTTGGTGTTATTTAGGGATGGTGCATTTTTATTTTTAAACCTGGAAAAGTAAAGGTGCAATCTAATTGCTGTCTTACCCAAAACCTATTTAATCATCACAGGTGGACTTGCTGGCATTATTCTAGGTACTGTATTGTATTACCAGTGTATCAAAAAACCAAATTTTAATTTCTTAGTATTTGTGTGCAATTTCTTTTAGAATAAAGTAGATGGCTAATTTTATATTAGCAATTAATATCTTTAACTTGGTCTACACTTCCTTTAATAAATACCTTTATATAAGGATATAAATTTATCACTATTGCACAGTTCTTGTATTTCAGCTTCTTTCAACACTACAAGCTGTACGAATTTATGTTCTACTCTACCAGGGAAGAAATTGTGATCGGGACTGAGGTAAGTAATTTATCTAGATGGAACCAATTAAGCTGAATCACTTGATGCATGCTGATCAGCATCTGGATCTTTAACTGCTTAAAGCTACTTCTTGTCAAGATTACTCAAGTGTTAATATAACCAACTAGTAGTTTGCAAAAAGAATAATTATATAAAGTGGGCTTTGGATTAAGAAAATAAGCTGCCTTTTGGCATTAGAATCATTGTTAATCACGTATGCTTTAAGACTTTATGGATTATTTGACAAAGCTCGATTGAGTAGGGTGCATACATCTTCATACAAATAAAAGCAGGGAAAATGAGATAAATAATTTGGTTAAGTCTTATAATTTCATATTTATTTTCAGTCCATGCATTTTCTAAGGTCTAATTCAAATCTCACTTCCTCAATGAAGCACCCCTGCCTTAGCTAAATATAAATTGAACAAAGGGTTTGAACAAACTCTGTAGTTGCAGTCTATGATTTTATTTCAGTTGATCTCTTCTTTGTGAATTTTGGTAAATGTTATATGATAAGCACATAAATATGCACTGTTACATGGTTTTCTAAGTTTTTTTCTGTAGATTGATATAGTCAATGAAGCATAATAGTAATTTTCCCAAAGCAAGGATCATCTACTATTTTTCTTTGATGCGTGACAGATTGTAGCATCATACTGGAAACAATAGTTCCTCAATTAATACTATATAAGTATTCAGTGACTGTGCACAGAACAGATGTTCTATAACGAGTGGTCTACCTAGAGACACTTTTAGATATCGTTACATATAATTAAATATTTACAATTACTAAAAATCAATACTGAGTAGGAAAACATTTTAAGAAAACTAAGGATGCTATAAAAAGTGATCCTTTAGGTTCTCAATCACTTTAAGAGGCATCATTGCTTGTACAAGTATCAGGTATAGGGCTGGGGATTTAGCTCAGTGGCACTATGCCTGCCTTGCAAGCGCAAGGTCCTGAGTTCGATCCTCAGTACTGGGGGGAAAAAAAAGTATCAGGTACAGTAGTGATGATTATCAAAATTAAACAGTGAATAGGAGGATTTTCATATTACCTTTATAACTTTTCTGACAGTAAGCACTGGATGTAAAGTCATAACTGCTTTGTCCTCAAAGTTGTTATCCTGGAATTTATAAATTGCTTACTTCAAAAACACCTCTATCACTGTTATCCTCCACTGAGTACCTATTGAATGCAGGGCTTTTAAAAGTAAGGGGCAGGAAAACGGAGCCCTTTGTGCTTTAGATTTTCTTAAAATGTCTTCTTTGCAGCCTTCTTATTCTCTAGTTTAAATTAGGTGCCACTTGACAAAGTTTCACTGAAAATGTTTCCATTTCAGAATCATATCACATAGTGTGACAGTGCTGTAGTAATCATTCATTTGGAATATAACCTTACCTCATCTACTCAGCAAAATTTTGGAGAAAGACAGTGGCTTGAACAGGAGCATAACTAGATATTTAGAGTCATCAAGGAAAAAAATTCAAAGCTCCCTTTTTCTTTGTTAATAGAATAATGCCTTTCTTCTATGTTGTAAGAATATATTTAGGTGACATTCGTGCTTAGGGAAAGATAAATTGGATGAAGTAGACAGAGGTTGGCTCTGTATTTATTTTCCATTGTCTTTTGTATTTTCCCCCAGCTGACCAGAGCCAAGAAAACATCCTTAAGGAAAGGATCTTGGGTCTTCAAGAATTAGATGACTTACAGAATTTTAAAAGATTAACAAAAGTGTATATTATATTGCAGTATCTTATGGAGTCTTCATGCTGATCTCAGTTCTCTGGGACCAAATATGGGCCACATGAATGTTTCAAATTTAACTCTTAGGCAAGCATTCAATTTAGAAAATACTGAAGAAATTTAGTTTCTTTCTTAACTGTAGATAGGCAATTAGGAGAAAACATAAGTTCCCTCTGTTCATACAAGTCTCCTGTTCATAAATGGAAACAAAATAATAAAATAGAATATCTCTGTTTTTGAATTATTAACAAAATATCAGATCTAGGCAATGGTGATCTGTGGCCGCTAACATCACAAAAATAGAGAAACCAAACAATATTTGTCACCTAATAAAATAAAAAACTATCTGTCTCAGTTACTTTTCTCATTGCTGAGACAAAATACCCAACACCGAAAGTTAAATCAGGAAAGGTTTATTTGGCTCTCAGTTTTTAGAGGTTTCAGTCCATAGTCGACTGGCTCCAAGGCAGGGTGGCATGGCAGAGGGTCATCACAGAGGAGAAATAGTCTACGGAAAGCAAGCAGGCAAGAGTGCATTAGCCCTCTCTTTGACTCGTATATTTTATGCAGGCTACCCACTCTAAGACAGGTATAGGACTCATACCCTTAATCCTAGCCAGAACTATGCCAAACCAATAAGTGGAGTGATTTAGTAATCACACACCCTTGATCCCAGCACCACACACTCTAGATCCAGGTACCTCTGAAAAACTGCCTCTCTAACTGCATGAAGCTTTGGGGGAACAACTAGACACAACACATAACACCATCTGTGAATTATCCTTGCTAGACATTTGAATGATCTGTCTTCTGGGTATTCTTCTAACACTAACTACTCATTTACTTAAAGTATGAAAGCTAGAGGAGCATGTTAAGATTATCACAGAAATGCAATGCAATGCAATTAGCAAACCAGACTATGGGAGACTCTATAGAATAGACTATGTGGAATCTTCAAGAAAGAAATTGCAAGGTAGTAAAATAAAGTATGTAAAATTGAGCGTATAGATTAAAAATGCATTCAATTGCAGTGTAGGTATCTTACTTGGAATCTATGCTATGGTTTGGATATAGTTTAAGTGCATCCCCCCTGAAGGTTCGTGTGTTGGAACTTAATCCCCCCCTAGTGTGGTGATGCTGGAAGTAATTGAATCTTTAAGAGCTGGGGCCTACTGGAGGTTATTAGGGGCATGATCATAGCAAGGATTTCCCACTTAGGTCACTAGGGCCTTGCTCTTAGAAAGGATTAGCTTTTTAGGTCATTTTAAGCATTCCCTGGGAAGGGATTATGGAACCCCAATCCATTTTCGGCTTTCTGTTTCAAGATGTGTCCTCTTCCTTCCTCCCCCACACACTCCTGCCATTGTAACACTATCTGCTATCCCCCACAAAGTCCTCACCGTAACCAAATTATTGCCAGCACCTTGCTCTACCGTCTCCAGAACTGTGAACTAAATGAATCTCTTATTCTTTATAAAGTTATCCTGTCTCTGATATTTTCTTATAATAATAAAATCCAGTATACTAATACTTCAAACAAACAAATAACCAAATAACCCCAAACACAACAAACACAGAATAGTTATTATATAATCTGATATATTTGGCTATGTATTTGATCATGACTGCAAACTAATTCTTGGACCCTATGAATATGTTAGCTTACATGGTAAAAGGAACTTTACAGACTTGATTAAGTAAAGGCATTTGAGTTGGGGAAATTATTCTGGATTACTCAAGTAAGTTCAGTATAATGGTAAGCTTCCCTATTTAAAAAATGACAAGGCAGGAATGTCAGCATGAGAAAGAGGAAGATTTGAAGATCACTATATTATTGAACTTTAAGATGAAGAAAGAGGCCACAAATTTATTAAATATCTATGTCAATATTCAGCTTATTATTGCTGTTCATTTCTAAATATGAAATTTAAAATTAAAATAATGTGTATGTGGAATTTTAGTACATGGCATATACAAGTATTGAGTGAAGCAGCATTTAAAATCAGTTGGCATATAAGTTAAATTTAAAAATTTAGAGCCCTACCTTATACCAAATTTTAAAATGAGTCCAGTTTATTAAAAGAGCCATCTCTCATAATGACAACCATATCCCATAATGGTAAATGATAATTAGACCATCACTGTCACTGAGAACAACTAAAAAAGCTAGCAAAATATTTTTGAAGTCTTATATCTTTGAAAAGTCAGCCAGCAAAGCTCAAAAATTATGAGTTACAATTATGAGTCCAAGAGGTAAGCCAGGCATTTGGCAATGCTTTCTACCTATGATTATCTAGCAGTTTTGGAAGTGTAGCTAAGACAGAAATGAAGAAGTAGAGCTTTGGTAGACACATGGAGATACAAAAACGAAAGTAAATAGCAAAAATGTGTAGTAGACTCCAAAGGATCATCTTTTAAAAAACCAGCACTCGAGGACGGGGATTTAGCTCAGTGGTTTCGCCTCCTGCTGCGCAAGCGCAAAGAACCCAGTTCAATCCCCAGTACCAAAAAAAACCACAAAACAATAAATAAATAAATAAATAAATAAATAAATAAATAAAAATTTAAAACAACAGCACTCATTAGCCCTGAACTTCAGTTTCAAATTATCTCAGTTTCTAGTGAATTTAACTGTGTGCCATGCTAACCTCTTCTAAAGTAAAATAAAGTTATGCCACACTCTAAATTATATTAACATTTTTTCATAGCCAGTATCTGTCATATAATAAAAAACACTGGGAACACAAAAAATAGGAACAGACCACAAGTAATTCATCTGATTAAGTAGTCATATTAAAAGAATTACGCTTGAGAAAGAACAAATACTCTTGGAAAAAATATAAAATGTTGGATTTCAACAGAGAATAAGAAATTATTTGAAAATATTAAGTGAAATTCTGGAATTGACAAAAGTCATTGAAATTAAGAACCAATGGATATGCTTAACAACAAATTAGTCATAGACAAAAAGAAAAACTGGTAAGCTCAAGTATAAGCCAAAAGAAAAAAATCTAAACTGAAACACAAGTATGGAAAACAAAAAAGAACAATAAAACGATATGGCTACAGTGAAAAAGTCTGAAATAGATATGATGGAAGTCAATTACAAAGAGAGAAGACAAAAGTAAATTAAGAGTAAATTTTCCAGAAATATCCAACATTAAGCCACAGACTTAAGATTTACTGTAACCACCAGTCTGAGTAAATTCACACATAAGCATATCATAATAAAATTTCCATAAACAAAAGTTGA